TTCCACATTCAACCAGCCTATTGTGGGACACACCATCTTTAGCAATCTTTTCCAAATGCCATGCTTCATCATCCAAGGATGTTTGATGTGCTTCTAGTATGCTGCATAAATAGTGATATGTTAGTTTCTCCATTAACTACCATGGAGTTGAAATTTTGTGTGGACAACATTAAACTAAAACCATGTTGCTTAGTTAAGCCATCCCAACATACTACTTAAAGAGTAGACAAACTTTATGCTGATTCTTCGCTAAAATACTACACCACAGATGCATGGGTTGCGTACAAGTAATAAAGTGGACTTTTTGAGTCCGAATTGTCGATCCCTCGGGGAATGTATACTTTCAATTACACAAATATAATTAATTTAATTCTAACAATAAAAATAAATAAATACAATTAAAGATATGATTTTAAATGAGGAAATTAACTAAAAACCTACAAAATAAGAAAAGGTAAAAATCTTGGAAATTTCAGAAGCAAGAGTGGTTGGGATTTATGGTTTTACTTAACTATTGCCTAATTAATTTCTCCACAAGCCAATTAACAAATTACTCATTCACAATGTTAGACCTGACTTCCAATTTTAGTCAATTATCTTTCTCGAGCAAAATTAACCCTAATTGATTAATTTAACCTACTATATCTCTATATCGATTAAAACCAAACAACTACTTTAAATCTTTGTGAAAATAGCTCAACGGGTTGCCTAGGGTTAAGGGTATATCTCTATTCGCTAAACAAACCTAGAGTTTCTACTACTTGGTCTAAAATGCACAATCTTCTCTCTAATGATGTACAGATCACTTAATATAGTCATTCATTGGCCACATAAATGAAAATGCAATAAATACAATAGTAGAAACATATGGAAATAAATAACTTAACATTAAAGAGCAAATATCAAAATTAAGTAAAAGTTAGGTTAAACTAATACCATAAATCTCATTACAAATATTTAGCCCATGTTAAATATATGATCAAAAGGAGAATGTTTTATATAATATATTGCGAGTTTGACAAAATAATAGAGAAAAATACAAAGTATAGATAAAATCCCTTTTTGAGCTTGCTCTTAATTTCCCCAAAACCTTGCCAAATCCTTAATTGAATCTCCTTGTGCTCTAGATTGTGCCTTCAAAATACCAAGGAAAGGAAAAGAATAGAAAAGGAAGAGAAAATGTAACGCCTCGACCCCTAGTGGACCGGAACGCTACTTACTTTACTTAGCTTAACCGTTGATTTAGTAACAAGTGTATACGTTTTAGTGAAAGCTTACATCTTCGGATAATAATTTAAATAACAATATTTCAAATACTTTAAACAAAAACACTGAATCATTTTTCAAAACAACAAAATATAATTTATTTGAAGAAAACATAACTTGTTCTCGCATTCTGCGTTATTCAAAACTTTAAAGAAATAACATTGGAAAACATTTCATAAAAATAAATCCAAATCACTTATTCACCGGATTTCCATGGACTCATTGCATCACTCTCTATCTTCTCCTCCATCCATGCTCGTGGTAGAATTCCTTCAATCTGTAGAGATGGGATTAAACCCGTGAATTGAAAAATTCAATAGGTGTCATAGGTGCATTCGTGATCAAGCTATACATTTCAAAACATTAACTTTATAACTTTTCATACATGCCGTACCCGGAGGCACCATTTGACATGAAGGGGTATGCCGTACCCAAGGACACCATTTGACATACGAACATTTCTTCAACATAGAGGGGTATGCCGTACCGGAGTACCATTTGACATACAACCATTAACATAGAGGGATATGCCGTACCGAAGTACCATTTGACATACAAACATTAACATGAATCGAAACTTATAACTTAACACGATTAAATACATTGCACCTCTACCTACCTTGATTGATGCTTTTGAAACTTTGAAAACTTGGATTGAAAACTTCGATGAAACTTGGACGTTGAAAGAAATGCACTCCTTGGATGTTTGAAAACCGTTGAGAATTGATGCTTGAAGACACTTCCTAAACTTCTAGAAAAAATAGTTTTCCTCCATCTTTTTTTCTCTCTTAGAAACTCTTTCTTTAGTATGTAAAAGCTCTTGCTTTTGGTGTGAGAAAAATGAGTGAAATGAGATCTCTATTTATAGGTAAATATCCCATAACTAATAGCAAATGAAGGGTCAAATTTCATTTAAGAGAGAAAACATGGGTACCATTTAAGTTTGAGGTTAAATGCTTCAATTTAGTGGGGTTTTTATTGCCAAAAACGTGGGTGGCCCTTTGAGAAAATAATTGATGAAAATAAATATTTAAATTCTAGAGAAAAACGAGAATTTTCATTTCAGGCAGTTTCGGTCGACCGGTTGTAGTTTGGTTGACACTGCACAGCTTTCAGTGTTTCCATCATAACTTCTTCTCCCGATATCCGATTGAGGTAATTCAAAGTATGTTGGAATGATAACTTAAAGAGCTAAAACTTTTATTTAGATATCATTTTTCAAATTGAACATTTCCTATGTCGAAAATGGGTTTCAAATGAGACTAAAAATCTGAAGTATACTTTGGTCATCCAATATTCATGTCTTAGTGCCACTAAGGTGTCTAGAATTATTTGGGGTTTTACAAAAAAGGAAGAGAAAAGAAAGAAGAAAAAAGAATAGAAAGAAAGAAAATGAAAGAGGAAGAAGACCTAGCCCCCAAAACCTAAAATCCCCCCGAAAATGACCAAAATTCGGTATTTAAATGGCCAAAATCGCGTCAAGGGAAATTGTGAAAGAAGCCCCGAAATTTACGTTAAATAGGCAAAATTCACCAGCCGGAAAGCGGAGCGCGAACATAGGCATTCGTTCCGCGCGCACACCGTTAAACCGTTTTGGCATCGGTAAATCAAAAAGATCTCCCCGTGCAAGCACCATTGCGCGCGGGCTTTCTTTATTTCTTTTTCCAACTTAGTCCTCCATTTAATTGCACACAAGGATCCTCAACTTTGATCATGTACAATCTTGTCCTCAAAATTTGATTTTCATATCACTTTTGCTCTCCAAAATTGTAACCTTAGGTCCCCAACTTTCGGTACTTGTGCACTTTGGTCCCCAACTTCACATTTTTGTGCGCTGATGGTCCTTTTCACTACCTTTTGCCTTGTTCTCTTCCTTTGGGTGATTTTTGGCCTACAAATGTAAATATTACATAATTGTGAGTAGAATTTCATTTATTTAATCAATAAATAACATATTTAGATATTAATTAAGTGCGTAAAAACACACTTATCACTGATCTAATAGAAATGTCTTCCAACTTTAACATCGTCATGAAGCATCAAGAAACTTTGATAAAAAAAAATCATGCTTCAAAAATTTCAATGATTGTTCAAGTACTGTGGGAACCAAAAATAAAAAATAAAAATAAAAATAAATAAAAAAATTACAACTTAGGAAAAATAAATAAATAAAATAAAAATAAAAAGCAGAGTGCATCAATCAGTTAATTATAATAACATGCTGAACAAAAACGAAAATTACCTGAAATGATTACGAATAAAATTTGATAGGGAAGAGATGGTTCATAAGAGAAACATTCTCCATGATGATCTTGTACTTTGAAGGATTTATTCCTTCTCTAATTCTCACTTCCATAAGACTTGCATGCACATTTGCTCCCAACTGAAATTTTTGCTCCTTATCCAGCTCGAGTTTTCCATAAAAACTGACCCCACCTACTTAACCTACACCCTCATGCAAAGACACTGTCAAGTCCTCATTCACCAATGGCTTTCCTTCCCTGTTCCGTACAATTTTTGCAATTGAAGTCCTCCTTAGACCAGTCTTCTCGATCATTGGAATTAAAATCACCATCAACCATGAGAAGGTTGACCTTTATTGACGATAAAGGCCCAGATGTTATTATTTTCTTAGATGCAGAATCATACAATACTATTTTCCCAGGGATTTTTCCCTCAATTAGCACCCTATTGCATGTGATTGGGGTTGAAGGCAATTTACTGTCAAAATGCAACTGCAAGTTCCTTGATCCAGAGCACGCGTTTTGATTTTGCGAGGATCTACAGAAAACAATTTTATAAGAGGTGCAAAATGTTATTTAACTTGAAAAGGATATAGGATCAATAGATAATGAAGCTATATCTCAATATCAAGACAAATTCAAAGAACTGGTCAGTTATTATTATTATAGTCTAAGTAATCCTATGGAAAACGAAATCTAATTAAATGTCTTATGACTTGATAGCTTGATAAAGGGACAAAAACCATGGATGATGCAAAACATTATACAGTACCATAATTGATGGATAAACTAACCTCAGTAATCATTGGATTACTGGTCCACCTCCTCACGAACCTATCATTTAGAGAGAGTAACAGAGTAATCAGTCACTTACTATCTCACAAATGACATCTAAATTCAATACTAAAAATATCAAAACATTAGCCTCCAAAAACCAAATTTAAAAAAGCATATCAATGACTTTAATGTGAGATTTAAATTCCACAAATTTTCTCCACAAAAAAAAAATTAAATTAAATTAAATTTTACAGCAATATATAGAAATGCCCATCATGAGGTCATCCCAGAGTCGGTTGGACATCCAAGGGTAGGTCAAATATAAGAATTCGTGGCAATTAAAGAAAAATGTAATAAATAGATAGAAAGTGCAAGACAAAAATAAGCACTTTTAGTAAATAAATGACCTAAAGATTTCTTATCACAAGTTTATGTCGGGTTGTGATGTCAGATTCAATCCAATAAGTTAGGCTATGATGATATGGCATGTCGGCCATATAAATAAAACTACCCAATAACGTCTCATAGAAGGCCCAAGACCCCAAGCCCAATATTCGGCTAGATATATCGCATGTTCAAAGTTCGACTTTAGTTGTTGATTGACTAGAAATGTTAGTCGCTCTAGACCATTAGATCACATTCTCTGATCAATGGTTGCTGTGTTTAGTATAAAAAGGGTCTTTTTTTGTAACCATAAACCAGTCGATTCATTCTTCAAGTCCGTGAGAGAATCTTCAACCCATTTTGTCTTCTCTTCAATTTTCATCTTCCCTTTTTTGTGTGATTAAAGGTTGAAATCTCCATGTGAGATAGGAGTCTTTGTGATTTCTGCTGTGTGTGAAGACGATTGATCTAGGATTGAGTTCTTTCTGGGTCCATTGTAGTGACTTTGTTTCATGTCTTGAGTTGTGAGGGTTTTGGGTTTGTCCAATGCCTCTGTGTTGATATAGAAGTGTACAGTGATCTGAGCCTACGATCGATAAGATCTTTGATGCCGGTTGATTGGGGATTTTTTGAGTATTGTCGATGTATTCTCTCCGTACTGAAATTGTTGTATCTTTGAGTGATTTGTATTAATAGTGGTATCAGAGTCCTGTGGAGGCATCGTTCAAGTCTTCGATCGAGTTTATCTCTGGAAAATTAATTTTCAATTGATAACTTGAATCGATTGGAAATCAGATGAAACCTAGGTCTACTATTTATAGATCTAGGGGTTGCTGGAGTAGATCCTGGTACTGAGAATACAATCTTAAAAGAAACTCTTGGTTTCTATATGCTCTTCGAGGAGAAGCCCTAGATCTAGATTTTATCAAGTGTGAATCCCAAATCCGAGTTCATAACGGCCTGTGATCTTTTCGTAAAACAAGTGTTCTAGTGGTTATATTAAAAAATACCACCACTTTGGTTTGCCGCTTTTAACTCTTAACTCATTTCTTGTGTTCTCTTTTGAACTGTTTCTATTCTTTCATATGTGAAATTGTGCCTGGTTCTGCATTATTATCGTGGCCTTTGCTATTTGATAATCTTGATTTTTTGAACTATTCCTAGGTTGTGCCTTGACCTGAGAACTTAATTCTCAAAGAATCCTAGTGAATATGGGAATCAGTTTGGGAGTGATCTATTGTTATAGTTTTGTGCTTTACCCATGAGCTATTGTTGTATGTGAGTTCATTATTTTTTGTTAAAAGATACATGGTAGTTCTTGCATTTGTGTCCCTTGATATTTGTTTTTGGAACGGTTACTTTTTTTTTAATTCAACTTTTTTGAATTGTTGTCACTGATATAATTCTCTTCCTTAAATAAAGAAAAATATTCTTTTCAAATATAATGATTACAGCCACTTTTGAATTTGGAGTTTATAATAGAAAATGGGATTTTCCCATCTAACAACAAAAGATAAGGAGAGTTTTAGGTCAACAAAAAGATTCTAAGGCTAATGATTAGAAAAAGGAAGCTGATGAATTAGCCTATACTTCTATTATCTTGTATTTACCTGGTCAAATATTAAGAAAAGTAGGTAAAAAGAATACTACCAAAGAATTGTGGAAAAGACTAGAAGAACTTTATCTCGCTAAATCTCTGCCATATAAACTATTTCTTTTGGAAAGATTCTTTAGCTTTAAAATTGATTCCTCTGAAGACTTAGATGATAACCTTGATGTCTTCAATAAATTACTCCACGATACCACTAATACAAAGATAAGGTATCTGAGGAATATAAAGTTGTTGTCCTGTTAAATGCAATACCAGAAATCTTTAAGGATATCAAAACTACCATAAATATGGCATATACACCCGCATACTTGATATTGTTATTGAATCCTTGAGAAGTAAAGAACTAGAATTAAATATGAGAAATATAGGAGTACGTTTGAGAGTTTCTTTGTGAGAGACAGGCCTTAGGTTAGGCAAAACTAGGGACAACAATTCAGCTCATCGGCTCGAAAAAATCCCAAGCTAGCCCAGCTCAAGGATCAGGTCAAGCCCCATTTCGAGAGGACGAAATGAGCTCACACGGGCAGGCTTGAGCTTCAACTGCCTTTAAAATGTGGCATTTTGCTGCCTTAAGAGGCAGCCGAGTGGGGCCTTTCCTTTTTTAAGGCCCGTAATAAAAGGCAGCAGCACAATATTGCCTTCAATTTACTTATTAAAAAAATTAACAGTAAAAGGCTTGTTCGGAGAGGCCCAAGCTAAAAACTCAGGTTGAGCCTAAATCTTTTGTTTGACTCAGTTCGAGACCAAAAAAATCTCGCACTGTTTTACTTGAGCTGAACTTGAGCCTCGAGTTTCGACTTGGCTCGTTGATATCCCTAGGTAGAACTAGAGTCAGAAAGGTCAAAATAGCCAAGTAAATAGTAATAAGAAAAAAGGTAGAGAAAGGATTAGATCTAAATCCAGGACTAGAAATAAGGAGTGATATGGGTGTGGAAAATAAGGTCACTTTATAAAGGAATGTTATCAAAAGCAGAATGAAATAAAGGAAAAGAAAATAGATGAAGGTAATATTGTAGAACTTGTAGAGTCTAACACTGTCGATGTGTATGTTGTTAGTAAGCATACCACTAATCTAAACACTGCTAATTTTTTAGCTAACAGTGATCAGAACCAAGAATGGATATTGGATTTAGGCTGTACCTTCCATGTGACATCTAGAAAACAATGGTTAGACAATTTTTAAAATACTTAGTGGAGGCGAAGTGGATATGGGAAATAACGTTGTATGTAAAGTGGAAGGTATAAATAATGTTACCTTGATGTTTGACAATGGATATATCTATACTCTTGAAAGAGTTAGATATGTCCTTGAATTGAATAGGAACATTAACACCATGGGGGATTTGGATGACATGGGCCTCAGGCGTACAAGGTAAATCTGGAAAATGGCTTAGTTAAAGTGATGAAAGGATCACTTGTCATTTTCTAGGGTTATGAAAGAAATGGAATACATATCACTAAAGCTGATGTTGTCATGAATAATGTTGCTGAAGTTACCAGTGTTGAATTTGATTCTACCTTCAAGCGACATAAAAGGCTGGCTCATTTGAGTGAAAAAGGACTTCAAATCCTTCATAAGAAAGAGGTTTTTGGTAAAGATTATGTAACAAAAATTCATTTTTTGTGAAGATTGCACCTTAGGAAAACAACATAGATTACACTTTAATACTGGTCAACATAAATCCACTTCTACCTTGAATATATTCACTCTGACCTTTGGGGACCTTCATCCACCACCACTCAAGGAGAGAATAGATATTTCCTATCCTTAATTGATGATTATTCAAATAAAGTCTGGACTTACCTACTTGAACAAAAAATTTGAGACTTTTGAAAGGTTTCAACAGTTCAAGACTTCGATAGAAAATCAAACATCTAAGATGATTAAAATTCTAAGGACTGATAATGGTTTAGAATTTTGCAATGCTGAATTTGACTAGTTTTGCAAAGAAAATGGAATCCAAAGACATAAAACGGTACCCTATACCTAGGTCTCTTTTGGACAAAGTCGAATGTATCATGGTTGGTTTTGGAGTTCCCAAGGTAATCTGGGGAGAAGCTATAATGATATCAACCTATATAGTTAATAGAACTCCCTCTAGTGCACTAGGATGTAAAACACCTGAAGAACTGTGGTCTGGAAAGAGTCCAGAGTACTCTCATATGAAAATTTTTGGCTGCGCAGCCTATTCTCATCAGAGTATTGGTTAACTTGAGCCACAGGCTCAAAAGTGTATTTTCTTGGGATGTCCTGATGGAGCTAACACACCGTTTGAGCCTCATTATTTCTCATTATAATGTTTTGAATAGTATTTTATTTCAAAAATGAGTGGTTGAAAAGTTTTTGATTTACGTGTAATATTATTTTATTGAGGATTGTGTAGTTAAAAGTATGAAAGATAAAAATTTAATTTAATGCAATGAGAAATAATGGGGCTCAAACAGGGTCTAAATAATATAGGTTATGGGCCAGAGATTTAAAGGGTTTTAAATTCATTACCAATAGGGGTGTCACTTTTAATGAAAATGAAATGTCTTATCTTAGTGATAAGGAGACTAAAAGAAATTTGGATGTTGGAGAGGGTAGTGGGACTATGTTCTAGCTAGAACCATAGTCCCCTCTTGAGTCTGCTTATCAGATCCAGGTGGAGTATGGATATGATGGGGTTGAACCTAGCACTGTTGAACCTGAACCAGAGGGCGGGGCAAATGAAGTTGTGAAGATGAGAGTGAACCTCTTGAAAACCTTAATGACTACCAACTAAACTAGAGATAGAGTTATAAGGGAGATTAGGGAGCCATCAAGGTTTCTTTTCTCTTGCTATGTTCTCTTACCAAGATCTAGCCTTTAAGGGGCCAAAATCTTATGATGAAGTCATATCCAACCCAGTTGAGTAAACACTGGGAAGTGGCCATGGAAGATGAAATGAAATCCCTTTTGAAAAATCAGACTTCAAAACTTGTCACCAAGCCTAAAAATAAATCTGTTGTAGATTGTAAATGGGTTTACACTGTGAAAGGAGGTTCAAAAAAGTAACCTCTTAGATTTAAGGCCAGACTGATTGCCAAGAGATTCACACAAAATCAGGGAATAGATTACAATGAAATTTTTTCATCTATAGTAAAATATACCACAATCAGGGTAATGTTGTCTCTTGTGGCTCATTATGACTTCGAATTAGAGTAAATGGATGCTAAAACAGCTTTCTTGCATGGGGACCTAGATGAGACATCTATATGAAATAGCCACAGGGATCTATAGATAAGAATAAACCAGATCATGTTTGCTTGCTAAAAGATCCTTGTATGGTTTAAAAGAATGACCTAGACAAACCTAGACAATGGTATAAAATGTTTGATACATTTGTTTCTCCAATTAGTTTTATAAGGAGTTCTTTTGACCATTGTTTGTACTTTAAAAGAAATAAGGAAGGTGCTGTGATTGTTTACCTTTTGTTGTATGTAGATGATATGTTACTCATTGGGCATGATAGTAATTGCATCTATGATATCGGAAGGTTTTTAAGTTCTAAATTTGAAATGAAAGATTTGGGACATGCTAAAAGAATCCTATGTATGGACATTATAAGAAATAGACCTAAAAGATTACTTGTTTTGAAACAAACTTCTTATGTGGAAAAAAATGTTGTTAAAATATGCTATGCATAAATCTAAATTTGTTAATTTGCCTTTGGCCAGTAATTTCAAATTCAGTAAAGAACAATGCTCTATAGATGAATTTGATGTTAAGTATATAAAAAAGGTTTCCTATGCTAATGCTGTGGGATCTGTAATGTACACCATGATATGTACTAGACTTAATGTGGCTCATGTTATTAGTACCCCGAGCCTTTTTATGGCAAACACTGACCTAAATATTGGACAGCCTTAAAATGGCATTTTAAGGTACTTGAGAGGATCTTCCATTTAGGATTATGTTTTAAAGTCTATAATGAAGGGGTTGTACTCAAGTGATATGTAGATGCAAACTTTGCTAGGGATAGGGATAATAGGAAGTCAACAACTGCATACATATTTACTTTGTGTGGTACTTGTATTAGTTGAAAAATCTCAACTTCAACAAATTGTTGCATTATCCACTATTGAGGTTGAATATGTAGTTACTACTGAGGCCATTAAGGAAGCTTTATGTTTAAAAGGGTTGTTAACTAAAATAAATAAACTAAAATAACCTATAGTAGTGTATTCAGGCAATAAAAGTGCAATACATTTTTGTAAAAATCCTATTTTACATGAAAGAACCAAACCTATTGATGTTAAACTGCATTTTATAAGAGATGTAATCTCAAAAGAATTATTACTTTTTGAGAAAATTCCCACTCAATATAATCCATCTGATATGGGAACCAACGTACTACCTTTAAACAAGTCCAAGTCTTGTTTACAATTACTAAATATTGATGCAGGTTAATGCTTTGGTCTACGCAGGTATTTAAAACTTGGTGACCACTGGAAGTGCTAAGGAGCTACTGCTATGTTGGATAAGTAGTATGTTAGGCTTCTAGTATGACCACTAGCATCAATGTGGAGATTTGTTGGCTATGATGCCACATTTAGTCCAATAATTTAGGCTGTGATGATATGGCCCGTCGGCCTTGATAAGTAAAACTGCCCAATAAAATCTCATAGAAGGCCCACAACCCCAAGCCCAATTTCGGCCAGATATATCGTATGTTCAAAGTGCAACTTTAGTTGCTGATTGAACAGTGGAAACGTTAGTCGCTCTGGACCATTAGATCACATCCCAAATTAATGGTTGCTGTATATAGTATAAAAGGGGTCTTTCTTGTAACCCTAAATCAATCAATTCATTCTACAAGTCTGTGAGAGAGTCTCTAGAATCTTCAACCCCTTTCGTCTTCTCTTCAATTCTCATCTTCCCATTTTTGTGTGATTAAAGGTTGAAATCTCTGTGTGAGATAGAAGTCTGTGATTTTCGCTCTATGTGTAAGACAGTTGATCTGGGACTGAGTTCTTTTTGGGTTCATTGTAGTGACTTTGTTTCATATCTGAGTTGTGAGGGTTTTGGGTCTATCTAGTGCCTCTATGTTGATAAGGAAAGGGTACAATGATCTGAGACTACGATTGATGAGATCTTTGATGCTGGTTGATTGGGGATTTTTCGAGTGTTGTTGGTGTATTCTCTTCATACTGAAATTGTTGTATCTTTGAGTGATTTGTATTAAGAGTTTAACAAGCAAATTTCTAAGAACCAGTGTTACATGATCAAGCTTGCACAACCAAACTTCAATCTCAAAAAATGTGTAAACCAATGAGTGACCAAAAAATGAAAGACTTCTCTTGGAATCATCAAAATCTCATCACTTCCTAAACTTCAAATTCAAAGTAGAAATTACAAAAATTTTCTCAAATCACAAACATGAACTGGCATCACATAAAAAGAACATAGATAATAATCAACTTCGAATTTCAAAGTACGTCTTGTAGGAATTTCTAGAGATGGTGGTATGCATGGGTGGTGTACCTGTTGTACTTGAGAGGTGATCAACAAGTTCTTGGCCTTCAACAAGAACTAGGGTTTGCTTACGCCATAAAGGGTAATTGTTGTGTTTGAGTTTTATGGTAACGAAGTTGCCAAACATTGAGGGAAAGTGATGCCATTTAAAAACCTATGTGCTTACCGAAGCTCTGCTACAAAGAAGAAAAATTGAATCTAGGTAAAACTTTTGTATTGTATTCTTTATTGACTCAACGTGAGCTGAAGAGGTACAAATGAGTAAATAAATCAAATCATAGCACTTCCTTATTCTTCAAATTCACATAGAAATTCAAAAAATTATATATATAGAACTTTTCTTAGGGCACAGAGATGCATTGGTATCTTAAGCAGAACAAAGATCATACAAATTTACCAAACATTGAATGATGGTGATGCGTGAGGTTTCAAATCAATTGAGATCGAGATGTCAGATAACATGTCGATGGCGTTAAGATATCATAAGATGGAGGATCGGCGCAAAGTTGAAAAGTGATTGCAATACTTTCTTATTTGGGGCAATTTTGACACGATTTTAGTAATTTGACCATAACTTTGACTACAGTTATTAGAATCACGATTATGAACAATTTTGAAAAGCTTTTTTCGGTGCGCACATCGCGATCACCCAACTTTGCTCGATGGGCATCAATTTTGAGGCCAAAATCTGCTATTTTCCCTTCCAAATTTCAAAATTTTTAGTTTTTTTTTCCATTTAAGGTAATATTTTATTTTTTTTTCTAGTTGATTACGAATCTGATTTGAGCCAATTTTGGCAAGTTACTTCTTTTATTTTGGTGTGATTTTCAGGATTTTGCTATTTTTGGTCAAATTTCCATAATTTCATATTTTCTCAGCTATTTAATCAGGTTTGTGGGTTAATTTTCGTAATTCTAGAGTTTTAATAATATTGAGTGAATTTCAGCGAAGTTTCTCTGCGTTTTGCATGTTATTCCTTCATTTACTTTTTCTGCGAATCGTTTGTTACAACAAGCCCGCAAAATAATCGCTATTTTGCCTAGCATCAGATGGGCTCCAATGTAGGTATATATATTCTTGCAGCAACTGGCTATTCTTAGTCCCTCTTCAAACACTGAAAACACCCAAATACATAAACAGAAGGAAAATAAACTCAAGTTGTAAATAAACCATCAAAAGAAATACAACTGCTAATCTACCCAGCTTGTGATAATACGTCAGCATTTATATTTGCCTCTTGCAAGTTCAGAACCCTCCTCGTCCCCCTCCCTAAACAATCTTTTCGATAACATCAAAGAGATAAGATTCACTACACTACCCTTAAAAGTATTTTAATTACGGTTAAAAAAAAGTATTTTAATTTTTTTTCTTTTAAGTTTTAATAGGATTTAAACAATTTCTTGCACGCAAAGTCATACTTCAAGTCGTCACCCCTCGAATCAGGTATCACATAAGTTTCATCGTTATACATAATATCTTTAGTTTATATGCACATATGATTGTGTTTATTCTGTAAAGAATGCAATTTATGAACGCGTGAATAAGCATGACCTGCTATAAAAATTAAAAATATCGCGAGTTAATTATTTACATGTAGCAACATAGAACATTAAAAAGACATGTCATGTTCTAATTGAATTATAGTACTCAAATGATATAAATAAGTATATAATATATATTAATCTTTCGAAGTTGTTAAAGTGTTCTAATTAGATTTGAATTTTTTTTTAATATTATAAATTAATTTAGAACTTTTAACAAATTCTTTATGTCTATGCAAGATATTTCCATGCCAAAATCGTTTTTGACTTTTTTTTCCAATAAATCACAGTGCTTTAATATCTCTTTTGGTCCCTTGAACAATTTCAGCACTGAGGCCTCTTTTGGAATTATTTTATTTTAACATCAGAAGGAAAAAATGCATTCTTTTTTATTCTTAAAAATACATATAACCAGAAGAATAATTCTACTCGACTAGGGGCCGTGATAGGCCGCCAATTTGGCGCCCCCTATTTGGAGGTCTTTATCACAGTAGCAAGGCCCTAATCAGAAATATCAAAATCATGGCTCCACTATAAAGATCTAACCATCGGATGACTTGATCCTAGGCCCATTCTAAGTTTATTCCTTGCACACACTTATTAAACACCGAAAGTAGAAAATTTTGGTCATCAAGATGAAATGGAATCTTCCATTCCATAACCCCCAACACCGTTCATTCTCTAATGCTTCGGAAGGTTCTAAATAAGCATTGTAAATTTAAATGGGGGACAATAATTTCGAAATAGGCAGAGCAATATATAGAGCATCTTCCATACACTCCAAGTTCATATCTAATGACAACTTTGTGGAAAATATAACTTGTCAATTTAAAAACTGCTGAATATAGACAGACTTTAAGGCTTGTTACAAATTCTCTTTAAAGAGTTCGACTAACGAAATTAATTCCAAAAATCTTGCAGATGAGTTTTACTTGGTTGCTAGAACAAGAAAATGATGATTCCGCAACAATTATATTTTTCTGTAAAAGTTAGAACGTATTGCTATACTTAACAACCTTTAGATGATGTCGTTGAATGTGATGCACAGAGTGTGGTCCATAATATACAAACTTTATATTCTACCACTTTTAACTAAGGTGTGTATTAGTTCACGTGCTGCTTTATAGCTTGCAAGGGGAATAGAGTGGCCCGTGAACTTGTTTCTTTCTTTTGCTACTATTTCCACGACTTCTTATAGTTGGATCACTTGTATACCACATTTTATTTCTCGTGTTATGGGAAGTATTGTGCTTTTGTTATAAGAAAAAGTAAGTTGGTTTTCATGTCAATTAAATTTAAAGGCAAAGCATATATAGACTTATTTAGAGGCACAATCTTTTTGAATGGATGCAAATTTTCTCATTCATAAATAGGTTTGTGTGTTTCTTAGCCCTTTTTTTATCCCCATTTTGGGGGTAATAATTCATTTTGGATATTAGATTGATGGAGAATATGTAGCTAAAAATTAATGAAAATTTTTGAATTTACGTGTAATATTATTTTATTGAAAAATGTGTGATTGAAAACAAGTTTTAAAAAAACGAATTTTTAGAAGAATGAGAATCAAACAAGGACTTAATATCTTTTCCACTTAGGCATAATTTTTCTGCATCTAATATGGACCACTAATTTATTTCATATTTATTGCATGAGCTCCTAAAATTGTTTTTATCACATTGAGCCCCAGTTTGGCCCCCCATTAAAACTCATCAATTTAATATAAATTTTTCTCTTTTCTATTTTCAACGACAAAAATTTCGATAAAATAATATTACACGCAAATTGAAAACTTTTCATTATTTCACAGCCATCTATTTTTCAACAAAAACACTATTTTCCCATTATAAATCCAAATAATGGATGCAAAACGGGGGCTGAATATGATCACAGCATAAATTAATTTTTTGATAATTAGAATTTCCCAAGTTTTTGATTTCTGATCTGGTAAAAAATGTCATATGCTGGCAGTAGGATGTTTGGCATGTAGTCAAAAAAGGATCAAACCAATTTTTATCTTGTTAGATTCACAAGTATTATTCACTTATCCATGACTCATTTATATTTATTTAATAACACTTCCCAAATAAGTTCGTTTACTTAGAATGAGCGACTTATTTCCACACTAGGGTAAAAGTAAATTATTCAAAATATGTTCAGAAAGAAAATACTTAAAATTAACTTCTACTAATTTTCAAGAGTTGCCAAATTAATATCCTTCTTTTTCCAAGTGTTATCTTGAAGTCTGCTGCTTTGTTGAAATAAGATGAAGTTAGGTACGTTCTTTGCATCTTCCACACTCCAGCGAATCAAGTCAATATGCTCCTTCTCAGAGCGATCTCTTTCAATTTCTACATTTTTCTTCTATGCAGATATGTTTTCACCGGCAGTAGATTTTGGAATCTGAATCATTTGATATAATTGCTGAAGTTATAATTATGATGGTCAGCTTAAGGATCAATAAAAAACTGAGTTCCTAAGTTCGACTTTAGAACTTTCATAGCATTAATTTATAGCCACGATTCTGTAGTGATTAGGAGTTGATGTTCCACATATTTTATTGTGTGTTTACCGAGTAGTTATCGTAATTAGTCAGGAATCACAACTATCTTTTAGCTAATAAAGTAAATTAAAGGTGTATAAAGGAATAAAACAGGCTTGATTGAGTTTAAAACATTTACTTGCGAGTAAATAAGAAAGATTTTTATCATTTTAAGAGCAAAGGTAAGAATTAATTATTTCTGAATGAATAGCTTTAAAATATATATTTCCAAAAGTAAATAATTTTTTTTTACTTAACATTTTTATTAAAAAATAAGTTTTTAAACTTGTTTGAGCCCCATTTTTGGGAAAAATGCATTTTTGAATAGTATATTGATAGATATGTGTAATTAAAAAATAAGGAAAATTTTTGAATTTACGTGTAATATTATTTTATTAAAAAACATGTTATTGAAATGATGTTAAAATACTGTTTAAAATTGCATTTTTCTCCCAAAGAATGGGGTTCAAACAAGGGCTAAATATTGGAATAAAAAGTTATTCCAATATAATTACTTAGCCAAACATACTCTCAAGGAAGCTTCTTATTGGCTCTTTTCTCAAGTTATTTTAACAGATGTGTGTTTACTAATTGTTTTAATTAGTCAGGAACTATAAATATCTTTGAGTTAAAATGTAAAGCAAAGGTGTAAG